CCGACAAATCTGCGGCAACTGTGTGATGCCATCATGTCAATATGGACCAAACTCCCTGAGGAATGCTTCCAGCACCTTGTTGAATCTATGCTACGAAGAATTGAGGCAGTTCTGAAGGCAAAAGGGGGTCCAACCCGTTACTACAGTAGCATGGGGTACCTAATAAAGTGGCCGGTGAGTGTATATGGTGGAATAAAATGGCAGGTTTTCCTGCTGCACTAAGACAGACATGACAACGAGGAAACCAGCCCCCCTAGGTAGTCCAAATAAGAAATCTAAAAAAATAGTCACATTTAAAAAAAAAAACAAAAAAAAAAACACTAAATAAAAGCCTCCCAAATGCCCCCCCATCCCAGTGAAGCAGGTGAGCTACATTTTGTACATCATTTTAGCTTTTTTAACTTAACTTTTTATATTTATCAAAATAAATAACTCCAAATTAATAAATAAATACATAAATAATGGCATGCAAATGTTTGTCTTGGATACTAGACAGTTGAAGGAAAGTATTGAGCAGCCTCCAGCAGCCTCTATGAAAGTCTATGTCAATATTAAAATAGTTCAGTTAAATTAAAGGACATTTATAAATCTTGATGATTCTCACGAACAGCCTGTAGCAGCCACCTCAAAAATACATGTTTTATTCTCAATACAAGTATACATGAATGAAAACTAAATTATAAGGACCACCATAAAAATAATATGTCCTTTAACTTTAATAAAGCGAAACCTAATAGAACTATATTTTAAAAATCTAAAAGCTATTTTCTTCTCATGTGTACATAGATACAGCTAAAATGTTTGCTTTAAATAATCTGTTATTGTTTTGAGAGGATCATTTCTAACGTTAAGCCTATTTAACCTTTTGGTGTGAGGATAATTTTCTGGGGGGGCAATATCAATGTTGTTCATGGGGCTCCAAATTGGTGGCAGCGCCCCTGGTCAGAGCCAATTGTGCCCACTATCGCTAAATTCTTTAATAATTCGGCCATGCACACAGTGCAAATGGGGCTAGTTTAGTCACTGTGAGCAGCAGGGTTCTGTGTCGTGCGTTCATGACGGAAAAACAACTTCAGCCTCGTATCCTTCAGGGTATTAAATAATGAGACGATCGCACAGAGTGTTCGGTTCAACTCAGTCAAACACGTAGCTTTGTCTCAGTGGATGTCTTTGCGCTCACTGGTTGGTCAGAGCCGCCCGGATAGGTTTGCAAACGTTTATTGCTTTCTCTGGCACTTCTCCGGAATCCTGCTATCCCGCTCGGTGCGCCGCTCCTGCAGAAAAGCGCACATCGCATCCCAGCCAGTCCTCTTCTCTGCCTCCTACCAGGATGGATCTGCCCCGCTAAGAGCGCACAACTCCACTTCAGCAGCTGACTAGTAGGAGTGAAAACCAGAGCGAAGACAAAGCTTTAATTTAATTTTATCTTTTCATTAACTCAAATAACGCAAATTTACAAAATGACACGAAGCCGATTGTTCCCACGGGCTCTGCTGCTGCTCTGTTTTATTTGTTCCGCCGCTTGCGATCCGTTTGCATTCACCGAAGATCCATTCGACAGAGCCGTGAAGGCTGACAGCTACTGTAGTCGGGTTTTACGGGCTCAGAGCAATCAGAAGGAGACAAACAACGAGTTTCAACTCGTGGTTGAAGGAGATCCGGAGCGTTACCAGCCGGGGAGCACATACAGAGGTGGGTGGTCTGTAAACACAAACCAGTCATTTAAAACTTGTAATAAGTTATTTTATCATTTAGTTTAATGCATGAAAGGGTGCTGTTTTCACAGTAACGGATGCTGTTTACATACTTAAGGTTAAATATTTTTTTGTGTATGCTATTTTTACAATTTATAGTGTGTAAGCTATTTTAAACAATTATTGACATAAACACTATAAGCAGGGCATTCAGACTTTCCAAACTTGTATGTATGTGACATCAATTTTGACCGTTATGACCTCACTTATCATAATAAAGCCCAAAATCTGACCTGATCTGTTTGGTTTTGTTTGCAGCCAAAGTTACTGGATGCAAGGCACAAATATGTGCCGTCTGTTCTGTGGTCCTTAGGGCTTATACCCTCTGATTGCGTGGGGTGGGGGGCGGGGGAGTTGTATGTGCCAGCTGGATTTGTAATTTGCAAAAAAAAAAGGATGTGCAATGTGAAAATCTTTATTTATAATAAGAACGACTCATTACCAAGTCCTAACTTTTTTATATTACCTTTTTAAAACATCAACTTCAGGTATAATAATATTGTTTTGTACCTGATATAACACTTATAAAGAGTGTGTATTGTGTATTAATCCTTATTGTTAGGTGCAAGATTCTAAACTGGTATCATTTGTTTTTCCTCACCAAGTGAGTCTGACTGCAACCAGCCCCTCCTACTTTAGAGGGTTCACCCTTATTGCCATAAAGGAAGGTGCAGTAGGAGACAAGGATGAGGATTATGCTGGAAATTTCCAGGTAAGGAATCATCTGTAAATAAAGGTGTTGACATACACTAGCCGAAAGGGAAAAAAATAAATCTAAATCTAATCAAATGGTTGTGCAGATATTCTGTGCACGTTCTTTGCAAAATAACACCACTGTCAGAGGCAGAAAATGCAGTCCTTATGATGAAACCAAAAACTGCATCCATATCTTTGGTCTGCTATATAAACCAAATATTGTGTTGGACTTAAGCTGTCCTGCTTTAACCTTTTTTGTTCAAGATAGTTCCAACCCAACATGCTCTAACAGGCTTGATTAAACAGGTTTTAATGTAAAAATGACAAAGTGACAAAAATCAGCCTATAACATATTTCTTTACAAAGTCTGTTGGCCTAAACATGCGTAAAGTCTAATGAATCCTAATTTACTCATGAGTAATGACGAATACGGTGTATTGACAATTAGAGCGTTTCTCAGACTAATTAGAGTTTAATGGAACAAGGTTACGCCTGAGCATTAAAGGGAGGAGGGATGGATCAGAGAGAAGCCAGAAGTTCAAAAAGAAGAAAAAAAAGGAGAGAACTTGTGCTGCCACATTATGCTAATGTGAGGATGGACAAATACATTGGGCTTCGGTAATTGTAATGCAGTGTGAGATTTGGTGTGTGCTTGAGAAAATATGTTGTGTTTGCCTTCATATAAGTATAGCAGAGATAAAAAGAGTATACCATTTAAGCTTATACACTTGATCATCCTCAACATTAAAACATGATTTCTACAAATCAGTTAAATAATGTCTTAATTTGTCTTTGGTGCATTTTGTGCTTGTGATGTTTGTTGCAATAGTTGCATAAGAGAAGTGTGTTTCAATAAATGTAACAATTGATCAGAGTTTCCATACTAAAGCTTATGAAGTAGTTATTCATCTGGAATTGTGGAAAATTGTTTCTTCGGAACATCTGTTACCAACGGAACAATTAGATAGATACAGAAATGTATATAGTCTTTATTGATGTGTGGATGTAACAAATTGAGGTAAAAATCTAAATGAGAATGGTATTTAAGGGAAATTCATGCATAGTCATGTGTAAATTAGAAAGTAATTTCTCATTGCTTTATAAATGTAGTTAAAGCAATGTGATTTTCTGTTAAGTCTCAAATCATGGTTTCACATATGTGGCAAAAAGTCCCAGCATAAGTATTTTCAGGCTTCATCATTACAAGTGACATAGCAAAATAGCTAATATGAGTGGCGGCTGGTGGAGTTTTCTCCATGGAGGATATAAAATAGAAATAGACGTGTACCAAAAACCAATCAAACGTATACTAATTTATCATACCAGTATAATTATATGAATGCCAACAAAAAAAAACAACAAAATAAATTGATTAATAATGGAGAAGCTATTAGTCAGCTTTATATATATATATTTTTTTTTATATGTAAAATACTCTTTGTTTTCTGAGAATGTGTTTATTTAAGAACAACTATGCAAATTAACAAACATCTAGAAAAAGTACACTATATATTATTTTCCACGTGAATTGCAAATTGTTCATTCTTCTTTAAAGTGCTTTATTTCCGTCCTACCTATCTTTATCCATGCTGGGTCAGATCCTGACGTTTAAAAAATGAGGCAGGGAAAGCAGAATAAAGTGAAGCCTTTTGAAATATAAAAAGTCTATGTATTTGTGATTTTAATTTTGCTGGCTTTGCAATGAAACAGATATGATTCTTGTTCATTTAGTTTTTGCAATAGAGCAGTTGTTAAATAGGTTTATTAAAATGTGGAAAAGTCTCATGTTGAGGCTTGTCGTTCTTGGTCTTTTTTAGCCACTATGTGCCTGCAGTAAAATTCATGCAGACATTTGCACAGCAGTTTCCCGGTGGTTCAAGTAAAAAGTCACTGCTGTGCTGTGTTTTATTTTAGGCTTTGACTTGAAGACAAAAAATAGAATTCAAACATTTAATTTTTACCTATTTACATCTCATCTTTCATTATATGTTAATAGAAAAGCTAATACCTTATTTTTTCATTTACTATAATAAAATATGTCATACTGTTTTTATGGTCCCTCTGGTTTCAGTGTACAACTCCTTAATCTCATGTCAGCATTTGGTCAAAGTGAACAGTGTTAAAGAAGGAAGGGACTAATTTAAATCAAATCTTCTGTTATTGCTTCACACAACCTTGAGTGTTAAGCAGGATAAATTAAATAAGCACATGTTTGACCATAGGTTTTTAGGTGTGAGTATAAGAGAAAGAGAAAAAAGTGTGACCTGCTTTTAAATAGACTCCTTCCATGGTTTTAGAGGGTACCAATTTCTTTCAAAGCAGAGGTTTGAAAATAAAATACTGCCAAAAAAGATAATTCTCTATCCTTTATTAGTTTTTTTTCCCATCTGATGTCCTTTATTTCCTAAAAAAAAAGTTGTTAAAGAAAGAAAGGATATAGATGCTTCAACAAAAGCTGTCAAGCTTTATTTAACATACAGCTCATTTGAAATCTGATGGTGTGCCCAATCCCAGCAATCTCTGAACCGCTCCTGACTTGATGAAAAGCACTTTTATTGAGCTCTCTGGGGAGGTCAGCTGCCACTGTGTGTGTGTCTGTATGGTTTTTGGCAGGACTGTAAAGCAGCAGGGAATGTTGGCGATGTCTGATGAGACATTACTTCTCAGCAGGCTGACATAATAGGACAAGAAAAAGAAAATTGTTATGTGGTTGTATGAAATGGAGAAATTATTGACATGATCTTGCTTTAGCAGATTTTACTTTTGGGTTGAAATTGAGCTTTTTTGCATCAGTGTGTTTTCTTGTTCACAATAAATCTGATTAGTTTTGTAAAGGCTGGACTGGCAGAGTAAAACCAGATAGAAGATTTTGAAACAGAGTAAAGAAAAGGGGGTCATGGGTCATTTTGCAGCAAATTGGTTCATTCTTTGTGTAGATGGCTTTTGATACATTTCCATAAGACTGCACTGGTTCTAACATATGTTGTAACTTTGCCAGGCTGCTTCAGGATGCTTCTTTGAAACCATGGGAACATGCACCGAAGTGGGGGTGTAATTTGTTAGAACCAGACAGGCTACTTACAGACAACATACCCTCTTTATTAAACACACACATACGATCACACGTACATTCCTGCATTTTATGGACTCTTGCACTTAATCTGCCTTTGACTTATCCTAACACACAAACAGACATAAAATCACAGACTTTCTTAGTGAACACATTCATATCACGGCAGACAGAGTTGTGGAATTTAGCTGATATAATAGAATCTTGTACAAAATTAATTATGTCACAGGATGAAAAGATTTGGGTAAGCCATAGTAGACTAACAATATAAAGTAGATTTGAGCAGATTTTTTTGGTTCCAAGCTTCAAATCAGAAGTTGAGGCCAAAACGCGAGGTATTTTGTCCTCTGCCAACTCCTGTATCTACTTTTACCTGGTTTTGCAGGAAGGCTAATGTTAGCTATGGTGAAGAGGCAAGCAGAAAGACTAAAGTCCTTTAAAAAAAAATAAAAAAAATTCAAACTTAGGGTTTGTTTTAGTATACATTTATGCTCATCCACTGGATGAGCTTAAATGGGTTTAGGGTTTATGTCAATGTGGGGGGGAGAGGTTACTTGAGGACCCAAAAGAAGAGATGATTGAGGCAGAGATGAGTTCTTGAAACTGTAATGAAAAACTGAGGCAAAGATCTAAAAAACACAAAAATACTGAGAACCAAAAAAAACAGCAAACATTAGGGAAAACTCACGTGGGTAGCCAGAGATGAGGAAGGAACTAATAACAACAAGGAACCAGAAAACAGTGACTGAACATGAGTAGTATAAATGGGAGACTGAACAAAGAGCAGGCAGATATGGAGCAGGTGTGGATGGATTAAACTAGTACGTTTTGCTAGTAAACAATAACCAGGCAAAAGCCAGATTGATACCGTGTAGATCTCAAATTAAACTACGTGGATCAATCTGGGAAGGCTCCTGTAGAAACTGTTCACAAAAGAGAGGGACATTCAGTAACATTCTTTGAGCTGATTGGGTACCTGTCTCCCATGTTGAGTTGTTAGCCAATGGCAGCAGCAGCAGTTAACTGATAAATTAAACTCTTACCAAATCTGGTTAGGGGGAACGTCAACCATCTTCCCACACACAGAGGCAAAAATGTTGTTCTTTTGCTTGTTTTTTTAAAAGAAATACAGCTAACACTGTTTCATTGGTCCAAAACATTTCTGTATCCAGGCCAAACACATCTGCTGAATCCTGGCAAGATGTTTTTTTGTGAGCTTGTGAATCCACAAATCTCGTGACAATTTGTCTTGCTTAAAAGGTAAACGATCAAGTTCACACAAAAGTATAAATGGGAATACCACTTAAAGTCACACTTTCTGTCTGATTTCTGTCACACTTCACGTTCTTCTTTACTGACAACATTGTAATAGTTTGTCAGCTGCTTTACCACAAACAACAAATATTTGGGCTTGTTTTAGCCATATGTCAGGGACTCATACATCTCTAAAGTAAGACCTCCACTTGGGAAATCAAATCACAACTATGTTTACTCTTCTAAGAGTACAAGCTACTTTATAAGAGACAACCTGCATTAAAAATAACTTTTAAATATTGTATGGCTCATGCTTTTGGGAAGCATGAGTAGCGCCTCTATGTAAAAAAAGATGAGGAAAATAAACTAAGGCTGAATTTGAAGATGAAAGACTTTGGAAAATGTCTTATTGGGCTAAGTGCAGTAGTGAAGAGGTGTAGATACATGGTGTTTTGAAAAAAACAATATAGCAGCGAAAACCCAATTGAGATGGACTTTGCTATTCCTTCTCCTTCCTCTTAATCAATGCAATCTTAGTACAATACTGTTCCAGAGACTTTAGTCTTTCCTAAAAATACCTTCACAAAATACAAATGAGGATAAGAGGGTAAATCTTTGTGCTATTAATTGACCAGGGGTATGAATGCGTCTTTAGATGTGTGTTAAATACATTTAGAAAAGACTGATGGGAAACATTATATGCCAGTGTTTTAGATGTTACTTTTGACTTAATAATTCATTTTACTGTATATTGATTCTGTATTCCTTCACTTAAACACACGAAAGAGAGTAATTTTGGGGTGAATGTCATAAGCATTGCTTTTGCTCACTAATGTCTTTGTATTTGTTACAGATAATTGACGAGGAAGAGACACAGTTTATGACCAATTGTCCTCCTGCAGTGACAGAGAGTACTCCTCGCAGACGGAGCAATATCCAAGTTTTTTGGACTGCACCTCCAAGTGGCACTGGCTGTGTTCTTCTTAAGTATGTATACGGCAGTGGGTGCTTTTTTTCCTCAGTATAATTATTATATTTGTATATTTTTACGGATACAGATTTTACGAATTTTACGGAAGTAAATTGATCTCCAGACCTCTGGTTTTAATGAATATTACATTTTTTTTGAAGTCTAAATAATAAGATTAATCAGAAATTATTTTATAAGAATTGATACTAAAAGAAAATTGTGTTTTATTTGGCCCCAATATTAGATTTATATAAAATAGATGTTTTTCAGGTCATTATACGGTACTTGGCTGGTATTGATGTTTCATGTGTGCTGCCTTTCTCAAAACCTCAGCTATATTCCTTGAGAGGGTACTGTAGGAAACATCACCAAATGAAACATGTGAACCAGTGTGCAGCAGTCTGAGCTCCCCTTAAACATTAGAGCTAACTAATATAAAAGATGTAAAGACATTTACAGTGGGGCAAAATTATTTAGTTAGCCACACATTGTGAAAGTTCTCCTACTTAGAAAGATAAGAGAGGTCCGTAATTTTCATCACCGGTACATTTTAACTATAAGAGACAAAATGAGGAAAACATTTTTCCAGAAAATAACACAGAATTATTTTTGAAGGATTTATTTGTAAATTATGTGTCAGGAAACAGGAAAGTTGTGGGAAAGTTCAAAACATTTATTAAGACAAAACATAAATAGAAGTGCAGAGCTGTGGATCTACGGACCGCAGCGGCTGCAGGGGGGGAGGCGGGGCACCACCCAATCAGTGACATTCTGGTTTAACAGTTACAGGGTTTCTATGGGTCATTGAAAATCATTAAAAGTAATTAAATTTTTATTTCTTAAAATAAGGCATTAATTGGCATTAAAATTTAATAAATGTAATTATCGTAGTATTTAAAATGCTTTATTTTCATCCGATATATCAGATATAAATGGTTCTGCATGTTTGCGCAGAACTGCTTCAGGTTGATTGTAAAGCCATAACGAGGACTTTGGGACATGGCTGCAGCCTGTCGACAGTAAAGATGACGAAAGATTTGCTGTGTTTTTATATATTTGGGTGTTTGCAACAGCTATTTCAGTTTGATATATTTAATAACTGATGGACAGTAATATTTCGATATTGAATTGAGGTTTATTGGACTAAAATGTCCAATATGCATTAAAACAAAACTTGACAAGTGTAAAAATTTGGTTACCCTAATCATTTTATTGATTTAAATACCGGTACCCTTAACTACTTCTCACTGACTTACTGAAACATAAAATTGGTTAGGTAACTTCATTAAGATTTGAACCTCATAGCCGGGTGTATCCAATCATGAGAAAATGTTATTTTATTAATTATTATTTCTTAAATTAAGGCATTAATTGGGAATAAAATTCATTAAATGTGATTATCGTAGCATTTAAAATGCTTTATTTTCATCCAATATATATGATATAAATGGTTCTGCATGTTTGCGCAGAACTGCTTCAGGTTAATCGTAAAGCCATATTATGTATATGACTGTCTGTTTAC